ATATATACATATATATATATGAAAGTTTAGGTGTGTGTGTGTTATATAGTTAAATTTCCCAAAGAGAAATTGCTCTTTTATTGACGAAATGTTTGTAATTTATCGGCATAAGGTTCGTGCTGGCAAATCAATAACTTACATGGATGAATACGGCTACGGGTTAAAGAACTGTGGGACAGATGTCATGAAGGGGAACTTAATTGGATATTTAATGCTAACTTTATCATAGTACCAGCCTTTTTTTGGCTTGTTACTAGCATATTGCTTTGATTGGCATTGAGTTATGCAAGATTGGGGAAGTTTATACAATTATACCTTCTTCAATATGCAATAATGCAATTTCTAGGTTGTTCACCAAAACTCCACCACATGCACTAAAGAATAATTCATTTTTATTTTTGAGAAATTGTGAAGTCTAGTTTCTATCTTACAAAGAAAACACACAATGTAGACTTGATTGTGGTCGACCTTCGCGGAAAGGTTGACATGGGGTTTGGAAGGAGGGCCAAGAGCTTCCCTTCTAAGAATTTTATATTATATGTTTTGGCTACCCAATGTTTTTTTTATAATAAAGAAGGGATGCCATCTTACCTATGCAATTAGAAGAATGAGAGCTATAGTTCTACACAAGCAACTCAATGAAATCTTAGTCAGCGACAACATGATGCAACCATCAATTGGTTCAACTTTATATGTTTCCCATGTTTTTGCTTATTGATTTTTTTCTATTTTCTGTTACTTTTTGCTGTCGGTATATCATTCGTTTTCCTTGCTAAACAAACCAGTATTATAATATTTGCTTCTCTGGCTAGACCATACCCTATTCTTCTGTACAAAATTGTTAAAGAATATTCATTTTCACATCACAAGTCCCTTTAGGAAACTTTCAATAACACACACACACACACACACACACACACACATATATATCAGTAAGTGACATTCATATTTTCAACACTTTACCCTCCATCTCTTTTGCAGAGCACTCATGGATAAAAGAATATGCTCAGCAAATGCAATCGACCATCAGCCATCAAGCCATCTTAACTTTTGGAGAAGACAACTTCAGAAGCTGTTCTTTCTCAACGTTCTCAAATCCAATCACTCAAAGAAGCCATGAATTGAGCTTCGGTTTCTGCCCAGCTGAAGATTCTGACACCGGAACCTCGTCTTCTGTTATACAAGCTGATACAACAACTGGTTTTTCCTTCCCTTTGCTCCCCATCTTTTCATTCTTCAACCCCCCTCCAAATCAAGAAAGCATATTGAATTTGAGTTCTAATAACACCAAAGGAAGCGCTTTTCAAAGAGGTAACTTTCTCTATTTTGGTTCTTTCTGTTTCCAACCATAGTTAACTCTGATAACTGAGGACATTAAGTTGACTGGTTTCAGACTCCAGCTTTGGTGAGCTCTGTGATAAGGAAGCTACTAAATCGAGAGCAATTGGGCTTCGTAGCAGGAGGAACCACACGATCGGGCTCGGTGAACTCGAGCAGCTGGATATTGTGGTCTCGGAATCCGTCATACGATGGGCTTCATGCACACATCTGTCGAGCGCGGCGTCTCTCAGATCGTCGCTTGTTTGCTAATGATATAGGGATTTCAAGTCGTTGGAGGAAGGACGAGGGGGTGGGGGTGGGGGGTGGTGAGATGTAATTGTAACTGTATTGCCTGAGTTAGTTTTCAGTAGGTTATAGGAGAGTGAATATTTTTACTCTGTTGGTGTGGAAATGTGGAAATGTGGATTATGATTCAATCTCAGAGTGAGTTTTGTTGTGGTTCTTGTATTATTGTCAGCAGATGTGCTTCGTGAGTGAAGAACTGAAACTATTTCCCTATTGGTTGGGTGCTTCTTCTACCAAGCGGCGTTATTGTACCCATTTTTATAAGGAAGATTGCATACACATAACTCAATTCCTATGTATTTATGTAGGAACCACTTAAATTTCAGTTTATATATATATACCGCCTTATCTATTGACATGGGTGCTAAAACAACACCCGGTTCAGGGCGCTGATTGGCGCCCGGTTCGGGCCCTTTGAAGGCGGGGTCGACCCACTTAGGATTGTAGAAGCGGGGTAGGGAAATAGTGATCTCTCGCGAGGGTTTGCTGGAGGGAAGACCCCCGCAAGGTTAGTAGATGGGGATCACGAAATGTCTTGATCCGTGAAGAAGCATTGCCTCTAGGGAAGCTTCATGAGGTTGTGTTCTTGGGAGTGTTTTTTGGAAACTTCGTGGCCTCCCACTCTCTTGAAACCTTTTTTAGGACTCTATAAATTGTTGTTTTTGGGCATGTGGGAATCAAAATAGAGTTGTTTTTGAATTTAGCTTCAGATCTCCTGTGTGGAGTCTCTTTCCCCTTTGTGGGTTGTATCCGATGAGGTGATAGAGCTTTAGATGTATCCCTCTGAGGTGGATTGTATCTGATGAGGTGATAGTGCTCTGGTTGTATCCCTCCGAGGTGGTGATTGTATCTTCCCCTTTTAATCTTCCCAACCCATCTCTTTAACTCCCTTTAGTCGTCGACCATTTCAAGTTTCTCGTAACCACAGCACAATCACAGCCGACCACCCACCACTTGCTGTCTCTTCAGCTTCATACATTCCCCTCGTTGCCACCAGCACTCTATTACTGTCGCCAACACTTTGTTACTGTCACTACCCCCGCGAGCCATCCCGACCCACCTCGTCGATCTCCACCACCCATCAGAATACATTTAGGAGTGTTTGCTCCTATCATTTTGTGTTTGTGTTGTTATTTTCTCTTCGAGTCATGTTAATGAAAATTTTTTTCTTTGCTTTCACTCTTTTAGTTCCGGTATCACCTATGCACGAAAGGGTTTATTTCATTTTTTTCTAGAAATTAAAAGTATGACCTTTTTGATGTGATATGAAAAATTTAGGTTGTATAAATCTAAAAAAATAAAATTTAGGTTCTAGATATGTAAATACATAAGAATTGAGTGATATTTCATATTTAATGAAGATTTACTAAGTATTTACATATCTAACACCTAAACTTTAATATTTAGGTAGTTATCATCTTTCCTACATGAATATGTGCATTTCATTTTTTTTAAGTGAAAAGGTTGGTATTTTTGATGTGATACGAAAGATTTAGATAATAAAAATGTAAAAAAGTAGAAGTTTAGGTGATAAATGTGTGAAAAAATGAGAATTGGGTGGTATGGATGTAAACGCTCCTATATTTAAATCAAGAGCAGTCTTCTTCAACTCAGAGACTATTTGGTTTGAAGTCTGAGAAGTTTTTTTTTTTTTTAAAGTGGAACTTAGTGCTGAATTAGACATGTTCTCCTATAGAGCGCTATTTGCGTGCATTATAAACACGCAATTCTGCGTGCGTATGACTCCGAATAACTTTTCAATAACTAAGTTATTGTGGGTTATTGAAAGATTATTGGGGGTATTAAACCTCAATAACATCTCAATAACCTCTCAATAACCTACTAATACATTCTGTTGTTCGACACTTATATTTTTCCTGTCTTAAATGTAAGGTTATTGGGGGTATTAACCCCAATAACAACGAAATAACCCTCAAATACCCCCGAATTGTGTATGATGCACGTAAATATTTTTCCTATATTAGGCTTTTTAAGATGTTTATTATTTGATTAATTTTAATTTAAAATTAATTTTCTTACATTTCATATGCATAATTTTTCCTAACCAGTTCATAATGCATACTTTAGTTGTATATGAATTGAAGGGTAATCTAGTCTTTTATATAATTAATCAAAATTTATTTTGTTTATATATAAATCTCTTTAATCAATGCTCAGAAATTGATATATCTCCATTTATCTATGATTACATATGAAAATACCTTATAGTTTTGCAGCAAAATGAATCATAGAAAGCAAACTATTAAGAGATTAGAAGCTTAGGTAGGAAAGTTAATCTCTTATGAATTTCTAGTAAATATATAATTTGGAAGATTTACATACATATTATTCAATTTTAATGTATTTACATATCTAACACCCAAACTTTGA